TTTCTAGAAAATAAAATGTATGAAAAGACATTAGATATATTTGAGCAAATGTCGTTCAAACCAAATGAAGTTATTCTTATTGTTCTTTTTAAAATTTGTAGTAAACTTCTAAATGAACCAGCGTTAAGATTAGCCAAGAGAATGTTTGACGAAATGCCAAAAACATTTTATCGAAAATCTGCTTTGCTTAATTCATATTTACATATGTTGATAACATTTGGTGAAATATCAAATGCAGAAAAATTTTTTACTCAGATTGAAATCAACGATTCTATCAATTATAGAGTGATGATGAATGGCTATAATATGAATAATAGACCAGAACAATGTTTGAATTTTTTTAGACAAATGCAACAGAAAAATATTGTAGCTGATGAACTTACATTTACAATTATTCTTAGTGCATGTTCACAAATCGGCTTGTTATCAATATGTGAACCAATTGTTGATAAAATTCCTTCTAATATTTTAAATCATCATCGTTTACAAATTACATTGATTGATATGTGGATGCGTAGATATAAATGATTACAAAGAAAAATTTTCTTTATATTCTACTATTTATATAGGGAAAAGTTGGTTACGTTGATAAAGCATTAAAAATATTTGAACATGTTCAAAAACCTAATGTAATGATTTATACAGCTATGAGTGAGTGTTTCATCTTTTTCGAATTTTGTCTTTTTAATGAGAAAACTTTTTTTTTGAGTTAATGCATTTGGACTTAATGGAATGGGCTATGAAGCTGTTGATTTATATCGACGAATGCCTATTGTTATTCAAAATGAAGTTACTCATATTTGTGTATTGAATGCATGTTCTCATTCGGGTCTTATTGATGAAGCTCATTCTATTTTTAATAACATTAAAGTTAAAACAGAAAGAATAACTACAACTATGGTATGTGCAACTATTGTTTTTGTCTTACAGAGGAATCTATTATAATATTAGATCGGTTTTAGACAAACATTTTATTTAACATCAGACTTGAATGAGCTTTTAAAGGTTCGACTCATTCTTCAATGAACATATATTTCTACTAATACATGTGGCTTTTTTTTTGAGAGCACTCAATTGTGACATTGTTTTTCCTATCTTAATGAAAAAGATATAGGTGTGGGTTCGTATGTATATCTCTAGTAGAATCATCTCATGTAGACCAATATGATGCATTCTATCTAGGATAATCTTTAAGGCATTTGACAAATTCATATTTTCGAAAGAAGAAATTGATTTATCTTCAAATTTCAAACAATAGATTGGAATAAATATTGGATATAATCAGAATCTTTTAATTTTGATATATGGAAAACAATGTCACAGTTGATTATTAGCAAAAAAAGTATAAGATTAGAAATCTGGATTTATTTAAATGATTCTAAAACTAGACAAATCAAAGATTTTTTAATAAGCATTTGCGATCTATTAATTGAGTAAAGTCTCAATTGAAAATTATTATAATATTATAGAATATTCTCTCGATTATATTATTATCTAATAAAACAATTTAGGTAGATTGTATGAGTCGTATGTTTATGTTTGATGAAGCTCAGAAATTAATTGACAATTTTGAATCATGTCATCCACCTGGTTTCGCTATGTATAGTAAGTATTTTGATAATTTATTTTTGCTCATTTAATAAATCTTTATATTGATTAATTATTTTGATATTTTTCTCTTTTTAGGGGCATTGTTATCTGGTGCACGGAATCATCAAAATTTTATTTTATTAGAAAAAGTATTTAATCGAATGAAAAATCTATTTCCAGAGAAGAAACAAGGTCTTACAGCTGATTTTATTTTTCTTCCTAATTCTTACTCATCTGTTGGAGAAGATGAACAAGCAAAAGAAGTTCAACTCAAACGATTACATCAAATAGGAAAGAACAAAATAGTTGGAATAACATGGACTGAAGGTAATGGTAAAGTAGTGGTAAAAATATTATACTTTAATAAAAAGAAAAAAAACGAACAAAAGTATTTGTATGCTATGGCGATTTAAAGCACACGATAATACTCATCAGAGGTCCAACCAGGCCGCATTTTTGCAGGCCTGGCCGGCCTATGGCAGGCCTCTGAATTCCAAGCCTGCCTGTGCCTGCCAACTTATTTGTTTGGCCTGGCCTGGCTG